CGTGGTGGTGGCTCCGGGGCCGCCAGTGACTACGGCCACTTCGGCCCCGGTCACCCTAGTGGCTCCCGGGGAGGCGCGGCCCGCTTGGGTACAGGGGCCGACCCAGGCCTCGGCTCCAGCCCCGTCTTCGGCCCTGGCTCCGACGGTCACGGGCGGCACGGTAGTGGTGCTAACTCTGGAGGCCTCACCCGAAGCCCCGAGGGCGCAGGTTTTCTCCGGCCCAGAGCCCCTGGTGCCCGCGGCAGTGGTAGGAGACGATACGTCTATGGCTCGGGCCCCAGGAGCAGACTCTCCAAAGACGGAGGAGGCTAGAACCTCGCCCATCCCTGGACCAGGTACCCCCACCGGAACCCCCACCAGGACCCCTTCCAGAACGGCTTCTGGGGCCCTGACCGCCAAACCCCCGCTTGCCCCCAAGCCGGGAACCACAGTGGCCTCAGGAGTGACTGCACGGGTTGCAGCAGTGACAGCAGGACAGGTGACAAGCGGACATGGAGCTGCAGCAGCAACATCAGCATCAACAGGACAGGCTCCAGAGAACCCCCCAGGGCCTGGCACAGGCCCTCCAGGGACATGTGAGGCTCTGGTAGCTGTTGTGACAGTGACCCCGGCTCCAGAGCCTGCCGAAAACTCTCAGGACCTAGGCTCCACATCCAGCCTGGGACCTGGCATCTCTGGGCCTCGAGGGCAAGCCCCGGACACTCTGAGCTACTTGGACTCCGTGAGCCTCATGTCTGGGACCTTGGAGTCCTTAGCGGATGATGTGAGCTCCATGGGCTCAGACTCAGAGATAAATGGGCTGGCCCTGCGCAAGACGGACAAGTATGGCTTCCTTGGGGGCAGCCAATATTCGGGCAGCCTGTGAGTACCCAGTGGGAACCCGTGGGACTGCTTCAGGGAAGCAGAGGTTGGAGGAGGGGTAAAAGATGCACCTTGCCCAGACTCTGGCAGCCCAGCCCCCTCTGAGGATTCAAGGGTGACTAGCGGGAGTGGGATACTTGGCAACCCCTACCATGCCTAGAGCATCCTGAAGTTTCTGGGCACTCACATGTTTGTTAGAGCTTCAGACTATGTGTCAGGAGTTCTGGTTTTGAGCCTAAGCTTTGTTTTTGGTGTGTTGTGTGCCCTTAAGCTAATGTCTTCCCCATTTCCATGTCTCAGTTTCCTCCCCTGTGAAGTGAAAGATTGAAGGAGATGATATCTAAGGACGTCCGAGCTCCTTATGTGAAACTCGTGCTGTGGGCCAGATATTCTGGAGGGTTGGCTGGACAGGGTTCTGTTAGAGATTTTGGTTCCTTAGGGGGAAGGACTCTGGGAGTGATGCAGACATCTTATCTACCTTATAGCCCTAGGTCTGATGGGGCGATGAGGTGGGGGCAGTCTGATGGATGGAGGGGAGACCCTGAAAGCAGGACTTCTCTTCAAAACAGAAAAGGACAGTCTTGTGTTTTCACTGAGGGAAAGGGGTTGGAGGAGGCCTCTTCCCCATTTCTTCATCTCCCCAGCCCAGTTTACTCTTTCCTAGTTCCTTCCAGGGACCTTAGTCACTCCTGAGGTGGGGGTGTGAATGCCTCTGACTTCTTCCTTCTCTCTCTTTGGATCCTGCTCATTGTTCCTGTACCCCTTTAACCTACTGGTCAGTTCATTGTCACCTGAGCACCCAGGTGGCAGGCTCTGTGCTGGATATTAAGGATAAAAGAGTTTCAAGATGCTTATCATCTAAAGGGAGAAAAAAAATTTGGTTTCGATATATGTTAGGTTTAGCCTAGGGATCATCACAGGACTTTGTGAGCACCTAGGGAAGGAGTCTTTTCCCAATGTGGGAGTCTAGCTGAAGCTGATCTGAATGGTGAAGAATGAGAAGGATTTAGTCATGGCTGGGCCTGTTGGGGTTGGGGGGACCTGCCTGATTTTGGGGGAAGCCCTTTGGGAGAATATTCTAGGCAGGGTTTATAATCCAACAAAAAATTAAACAGAAAACCTTTATAATCCAACAGAGGACCTCTGAGCATCAACATTCAGGGTCTTATGAGGGTAGGGCAACTGAAGTTTGACCCTGGTGCTTTCCCACGCACGAGGGATGTGTTGTACCCAGTTTACAGATGAAGAAACAGGATTAGAGCAGTTGAGTGAATTGCCCATTCATATAATCTGGATCTGTGTGACCAATGGTTCTTTTGTCAATACCATGCTGTCTTAAGGAACTTAGATTGAATTGGATTTTAGTGAGCCCCACTTGTGTGCCAGGCACCATGCTGGGTGCTGTTTCTCTGCTTTGTAGTTTTGTCCCTTTAAAATTCATCTTCCATGCTGGAGGAATCTACTGAAGTGAAGCTGTCTAGGCCAAATGTATCTTACAAACTTTTAGCCGCTCCCCACTGGCCACAGGACAAAGTCCAAGTGCTTTAGCCTGCGCATAGGTTCTTTATTATCTGGCTTTGCAGCCTCTTTGGTCTTCTCTCCCACCACTCCTCACCATGCACTTAGTGCTACCATGGTCCTGTTGAACTGATTCATACTCAGGCCAAGAATGCCTTTCTCCACCTTCTGTTAAATTCTTCTGTCTTTCATGGCCTACCTCAGATGTTCACTCTTCCAGGAAGCTTTCCCTGATACCCACTGCCCCTGCTCCAGTTAGGTGCCTCTTCTGTGCAGTTTTGTCATTGTGTTTTTCACACTATATTGTAATCATCTCCCCTACTAAGCTCATGACCTTCTCGAGGGCAGGAAAGATATTTTACTCTTTCTGGCCTTTAGTAGAGCTTGGAACTGACTTATGATAGAGATTAATGAAAGAGGCTTTCTCTGTTTAAGGCACTTCTAGGACAGAAGAAACTAATATTTAATGAACCCTTCTATTTAACAGTCTTTTATATAGTTTCTCAATAATCCTCTCATAACTTTGTGATGTAGGTAGTGACATCCCTTTTTAAACAGATGAGGAGCAGACTCAGGTTATCGCTTGCTAAGACACCCCAGGTTTCTAAAGGACATACATGGAATTTGAGGTCAGGTCTGTCTGAGAACCCAAGCTCACTCTTCCATTACACTCACCTTCTGGTACTGGTTTCTATAAGTAATTGTTTCAAGACTGATGGGACATCTTGAATGTGAAGCTCTCACAGTACAGTAGGCAATCAGCGCAAGGAAAACTTTATTTGCCTGGGAATCTGGGGTGATTTCAGGGAGGAGGAGGTAGAGGGAATTGCAGATGGTCCAAGGGATCTCAAGAGTCTCATAGGAGACTCAATTGCTTCTAAGGAGACAGAGAAGTATGTATTTGTTCTATATTTTATTTTGTGGATAATAATTGCTATTATTTCCTGAACCCCTGCTATGTGTTCTCATATAATTTCTCAGGTGGATATTGTTTTTCTCTCCATCTTACAAGTGAGGAAATTGAGGCTTAGAAGAATTAAATGGCTTGCCCAAGGTCACAGTGAATAAGTGGTAAAGCTAGAACTTGGATCCAGATTTAATGCAAAGTGTGGTTTTAAATATTCTGTATTCTCTCCCTAAACTTATATACATTAGAAGTGGGATTTAAACACACTTCTCCAACGTAAGAACGTGATCTCGGTACAGAGATTTCCTTCCAAAGGGAAGAAGTTCTTTCAGTTTAGTGAACTTGGATGGCCAAGTGGCCAGACATCCTGATGTTCGGCAACTCACAATAAGCTTTTATGTCCAGTCTCATTTGAGCCTGGGGAAGTGGCTTGCTTCAGTTCCCCCAGCAATCCAGGTTTTATACTACTGCTACTGACCTCTTTCATGCTCCACCCCATCCTATAGAGAGAGCTCCATTCCCGTGGATGTGGCTCGGCAGCGGGAGCTCAAATGGCTGGAGATGTTCAGTAACTGGGATAAGTGGCTATCACGGCGTTTCCAGAAGGTTTGAAAAGGCTGAGTTGTGGGCAGGGCAAGGCGTGGGGGGCAGGGTGGGCCCCTGTGCTCTGGGGAAGCCCAAGAGCATGATATTCTCGACTACATTGGGAACAGGTGGTACTTGGGGAAAGGGGTAGCTTTAAAAGTAGAAGGCTAGGCCAGATCAGTGGAGTCAAGTCTATGGGAAGTGGGAAGGGTGTCCCAGGGAGCTTGAGAACTGTGGGGTCAGCCCCTGAAGCTGGCTTCCTGCCTGCCACTCTGCCTTAGGTGAAGCTGCGCTGCCGGAAGGGGATCCCCTCCTCCCTCAGAGCCAAGGCCTGGCAGTACCTGTCCAATAGCAAGGAACTCCTGGAGCAGAACTCGGGCAAGTTCGAGGTACGTCCAGGGTGTGGGGTTGTGACACTATGTGAAGGGTATCATCGGTCCCTCCCAGATCTTGAGATAATTGTTGCTGTCCCTTTGCAGGAGCTAGAACGGGCTCCTGGGGACCCCAAATGGTTGGATGTGATTGAGAAGGACCTGCACCGCCAGTTCCCTTTCCATGAGATGTTTGCTGCTCGAGGGGGACATGGGTAAGGTGGCCTAACCATATGGGTCAGTCAGCAAACATTTTTTGAAGGCTCCAGGTGGATATAGGGCTGGGTTGAAAGCAGTTCATACTCTCTAGGACTTCTAGAAGACTAATCCTTAATGGATTGAGTGTCAAGTTATATTGAAGGAAGTGTCCTAGGATGGAGACTCTTGACTCAGGGAGCTGGGGGACTGCTGTTGGGGGAAGAAAGGAGACACACATCAAGGACTCATTGAAGAGGTTGCATATGAGCTGGGTTTTGAAGAATAGTTGGGAGCCGAGCAGGGGTCAGGTTTTTCCTGCCTTGGGGATTGTGTAAGTTGTATCCGGGCAGTGGGGTTAGGTATAACTGAGGCTGGAAAAACAGTTTCGGGCCAGATCACCAAGGGCCCTTAAATGCTGTGCCAGGGCACTTGGATTTTATTCTGTGTGCCAGGCTGCCTCAAGATGTATATATACCACTCTCCAATACTATGCATGATGTTAGGTGGTTCTCCGATGGACTTTTTTTGTCAATAAGTTCATCCTTTCAGCAAATGTTTAGTGAGCACTTGCTATCTGCCAGGCACTGTTCTAGTCATAGATGACAGTAGTGAACAAGAGACAAAAACTCCTGCCCTCGTGGGGCTTATTATATTTTAGTGGGGATAGACAAGATAAAGAAGGAAACTATGTTGTATGTGAAATGGTGGTCAGTGTTAAAGAGGAGTTTGAAGCAAGAAAGGGGAATAGAAAATCTGAATGGATTTGGGGGTTACAAGTGACCTGATCTGACTTGTGTTTTAAAAGAATTATTCTGGCTGCTGTGCTGAGAATAGCATATAGGAAGACAAGGGCAGAGGCAGAGACCAGTTAGAAAACTATTTTCATAACCCAGGAGAGAGATGATGATAGACCAGGATGGTAACTGGAACTACGGGGAGAAGTGGTTGGATTCTGGATATATTTTGAAGGTATAGCCAAAAAGATTTGCCAATGGATTAGAT